TTCTGTGAACGAGGAGGGACAGCAAGAGAGTCCCAGGCACTCAAATGCTCCCGGCAGCTTCTCCACAAAGTGGACGCTCCCTCCTTCCAAACAGTGGGCCCAGTCATGTCCCTCAGCCGCGCTCCTCTGACGCCTGAGAAGGTGAGAACCTTCGGAGGTCTTACGGGACGTATCAGGAAGTGTGGCAGGTTCTCTGTGAAGACAGCTAGAATGGACCCCAGAGAAGGCCACACGGGTGGCGCCGCCGTGCCTGGAGCTCACTGAGACATGGGCTGTTCACAATCTCGACCCAAATTGTCTTAATGCTTAAGACGCTTCCTATCTGCATGTGTACCTGTTGCTTCATGCTCACAAAAAAATCCAAATTAAAACGATTGAACTGTGTTTTCTGACCCCGTGGAAAGATGGGCAGCTTTGGGCTGCATGTCCGGGAAGTGTGACCCACGGAGAAGGTCACCGATGCCGGAGCAGGTCACGGAGTCATTTGTGACTGTTGGTCCTCACAGACAGACCCTGCGGCACACCTGGCCACTACGGGGAAGTCCAGTGTTTACCATGCATTTCACCTTTTTTCAAAAATATGTCAGCATAATTAAACATTTAACACATTGTTTTTCCCTTTTATGTCTATGTTATGTATTAATTAAAAATTAATTTAGTGGCATAATTATAAATACAAAGTTCAGTAAAAGCAACCAGGGCTGTGCTTCTTTTCTGACCACGATCATTTATTTTGTCTCCTGGCTGTTTTGAAAAATAATTTGTTGATAGATGAGGAGTGTACTGAAAATCATCTGCTCTTGGTCAGAGACACAGTGCATTATCTTATTCTACCTCCACAAGTCGTAACTACTTCGTAAAGGCACGTTAGGAGTGTCAGCAGGCGGCAAGCAGGTTTCCTTAGGGAAGTGTGTCGCTGGGGCAGAGAAGTGGGACTACAGCTGCGCCGAAGTTGGGTCGAGACACACGTATACCTGTGTGTATGTTGTGCACATTTGATAGACAAGAGATACAGTATGTTAAGTAGTTTCTAGAATTTTAAAGCTAGCTACAAACTAAAGCTTTAATAATTATTAATTAAAATTTTTGAGTGTTCTGCTTTATTTAAAGAGATAATTGGTAAATATTCCAGTGTAACTTCATGTTTCACTCCTTCCTGGACATCCTGCTGGGAACACTGTCTGTAAATTACTATAACATAGTACTGCGGTCTATGCTGTAGAAATTTAAAGAAAGAAACTTAAATTTAAATATATATTCATACACATATATGTTCTGATTTTTTTTTCTGCTCACAATACATAAAGTTCAACCACTTTGAAATTACATGGTTTTGTAACCTTGGGAGTTTAGAGTTATTTAAAAATTTGTACAGTAATTACAATTTTTAAATATATTTATATCTGAACATTTGAAAGTTGGTTAATTGGAATGACCTGCCCCAGAGCTGCACCGTGATTCCAGAATTCCTCGGTGGCGTCTACTTTGGATTTCCGGCTGCCTTAGGGAGCCCCACAGCGTGGTCCAATGACACGACCTGTGTATGAAAACAGCCCCAGAGTCGCCGGGCCTGTGTCCAACATGCTGTGCATGCGTGTGCACATGTGTGTGCATGTGCGTGTGTTTGTGGTTTCTCTGTGTGTGTGTGTGTGTGTGTGTGTGCAGACTAATGCAGTCCTACCTCGGACGCCTGGACTTCGGTGCCCCCCTTCCTCCTCACTCCTGACCCTCTTGTCACTAGCTCAGCGCTGGTGTCGGGCTCTCAAGAGCCCTCCGGGTGCTGGAGATTTTTGAGTGGCCTCTCCACGCCTCATTGTCTCTGCGGGGGACTCTCTGACAGACTCAGGGGTTGCATCCTGGCTGGAGTCTGTCCAGACGCCCTGGGCCTTCTCCGCCTCCCTCTCCTTGGAATGACTCGACCGTCCAGCGTGGGCATTGCAGCCCGACAAGCCTGTTGGAGTAGTTACGTCAAGATTTCCGAAAGGAGCAGCTCCAGGCTGCCCAGTAACCCTGGCCGGCTTCCTTCACGCATGAACCGCACACACAGAGGGAGCACAGAGCGGGGCTGAGTCAGTCGTATGGTACACAGAAATTCAGTTTAAAGCAGCATCATTCTTTTTCTCAGTTGCTTATTTATTTAGCATATTTATTGAATGTCTACTGTGTGGAAGGAGTTCGAAAGATGGTTATATTAAAAAATCAATCTCATGTTTTAATTAGATTGAGCAGAACTTCCAAGCATGTTTTAAGGATGACTGTGATAGTTTACAGTTGTTTGTGGGGCTCCCTGTGAATATGGGTTCTCCAGTTGGTTTAAGACAGGCTTCTGTTGAGAGTGGTTGCAAGGTTTTATTTTACTGGGAAGATGATTGAACACATCTCAGTTGCCTGGATGATGCACTAAACTTAATTTCCTGATATTGGACCTCCTCATTAGAGAAACGATTGACTGCTCCGGATTCTCGCACAAATGTTCGGCAGTAGGTTTGTCCTTGGAACCCCTCCAGGCAGCGTCTCTGACAGCCTGGTGTCAGAGGTCAGAGTGAAGCTGGCGTTTACACAGGTTTCCAGGTGTTAATTCTTGAAATCTTGGGAGAACCTGCAGGCATGACATCTGACTCCAGAACCACTATTGGAGATGATGTGTTATTTAAAACTTTCTATTTTGGATACTTACATAGTCTATAACATTTGAAAATAAATTTTGGCCAATTGTATTTTTCATTGTTATCCATTTTATTGATTTTTCGAAGTCATTAGTGTTCAGTTACATCTAGTGTATGTTAGCTATTCCCAAACCTGACCACACATCAGCTCACCTGAACAGACCACCCGGAGGGTGGGTCC